TGAAGAGTTTGTAGTAGCAAATATTAATAAGGTTAAGAAATCAATCAATCCGCCGAAAGGACTCAGTTAGTTTGTAATTACCTATTGATGCTAGTTTAAAATTTTCCTGCTTAGAGGAATGTTGTGATTCGCATTTCATCTTGCTTTTATTGCAAATTTTACTTAATTTAATTAGTTAACAGGTCACTTACATATGACCTTCACTTGCCATTCTCTCCGGCGGAGAAAATGATCTCTTCACTTTTTAATCTTTTAAATTTAGACTAATTCACTTTTATTCTTTTATTCTTTTTAATTGTATAAATTAGAATTAGCTACAACAAAGTAACATTTTATCACTGAGTTAAATATTTATTCTCATAGAAGTAGCACGCGCGCCTATTTTGAGATTGAGCGTTCTTTTGACTTCTACTGCTTTGGGTCCCATCCTGGATGTTTGCTCTTTACATCCTCGCTTGAGCACTTGATCGACATCGCCGGTTCCTGTTTGATACTGACTGGCCCCGAAGTTGCCAAGTTTTTGTACTTCGAGGAAGGATAAAAACTTTGCTTCTGTAGTTCGCATAATTCATAAAACTTTGGGTAGTATTAGACAACAGAATTGCAGTTACAATTTTTGAGAAAAATGGTGACCAGTAGTTTGCACCGTTTGCACCCTGACGAGGAGGCCATGATAATTAAAATGTCCTAAGCAAATGTCCATATATGTTCTAACATAACACTGGGATAAAATGCAAAAGAATATGAAAAGACAATCATTTTATCCCAGTGAAACATTGGAGAATATTTGGACCACATTTTAGCACAAAAAAGTTTCTGACGCAAGCTGCTTAAGGAAAAAATTTATTATCGAACCGGAGAAACTTTATGCATAAGCAAAAGCAGAAAACCTATCAATTTAAATGCTGTTGAATTGGTTTGCTTGCTAAACATGGAAAAGGTGTTTAACATTTGGTCGCGGACCCGTAAAAACTGTCCGCGGTTGCCGCAGCTTTATGGTTCTTATGCTTTCATTTTTTGGTCATGCAATCTTTTTGATACTCCAGAAATAGTATAAAAAAAAATTCGAAACGCAAAATTCAAACAAAACTTCTCGGATCAGGGCGAAGCCCTGAAGGTTCCAACTGCCTTTTAAGGTTTATGGAGCAGTAATAACTTTAAAAAATTAATAGAAATAAAATAAAATCATCACCCCACACGCCATATAAAGTACAAAAAGATAGATTTCGTTTGTTAAAACAAACCAATTATGGCAAATAAGCTTCTTTCAACCAATTTGGAACGATTTCTAAGACGGATTAAATCTCCGCTTACGCGTTAATAGCTCGAATTATATCGCGCGTTAATTGTCCCAAATTGGTCAAAATGTCCAAAATGGCAATCTTTAAACCCTCATAACTTTACGAACAATGATCACAGGTAGAATATCTTTTCCAATTTAAGCTCAAGACATAAATACCTTTTGAATGATATAAAAAAATTCCCTCAAAAATGGCTAGTTAAAAAGTCGAAATTTGTCTGAAGAAAAAAAATCCACCCCGAGCAATAATTTTCCGTTTCTTTCGTATCGAAAGTCGGAACAAAAAAAGAAAAGCTATTGCTGTTTCCAAAACGCCATTCCTCTTATATGAACAGTTTAAATACCTTATTGTTCCGACTTTCGATACGAAAGTAACGGAATATTTGTGCTCGGGGTGGGTTTTTTTTTTCTTCTGACAAATTTTGACTTTTTAACTAGCCATTTTTGACGGAATTTTTTTATATCATTCAAAATTTTTGTTGTCCTGAGCTCAAATTTGAAAAGATATTTCACCTGTGATCATTTTTCGTAAAGTTACGGGGGTTTAAATATTGCCATTTTGGCCAATTTGGGACAATTAACGCGCGATATAGTTCGCGTTATTAACGCGTAAGCGGAGTGTTAATCCATCTTAGAAATCTATCCAAATTGGTTAAAAGAAGCCTTTTTGCCATAATTGGCTTGTTACAAGGAGCGAAATCTATCCTTTTATACTTTATATGGCGTGTGGGGGGATGATTTTCATTTTAAAAAATTCAAATTTTAGAAATTTTTTTCCATTTTGTTTTATTTCATTGAATTTTTTAATGTTATTACTGCTCCATAAACCTTAAAAGGCAGTCGGAACATTCAGGGCTTCGGCCTGATACGAGCAGTCTTGTTTATATCTGCGTATAAAGAGAAGAATTGTTGCTTCAACATAATCAAACTCCACAAGTGCTCTTACACCAACAAGTTTCCGACAAACGGAGCCTTATTTTGCGAAAATAGGCAACCCATTGCAAAGAAAATTGATTAATAGAATAGGTTTAATTAATTTCGAAAACAGACCCGCACTGACAAAAATGGTTTCGGATCGATACATATTGATTTAAAACTGCTTTCAAATTGATTCCGATCGATTATCAATAAACATTTCAGAAACTAAAAGTATTTTTTTAAATCGGTTTAAATCTATCTTTCTGGAAAATGTTGGATCATTTTAAGTTCCTAAAAATTGAATTAAAGTGATTTGGATGAATTTTCCTGCTCACAAAGTTTCATCCAAATATTGACAAAACGATTTGATTCTATTTAAAAAAAACCCCCGAGCAGATCAATTTGAGTGTCTATCTTAAATTGATTTAAGCAAAAGACTACACAACAAATCAATGAAATCGTCAATACCAATTAGCTTTTGTGCTCTAAGTTTTTCTAAAAAATGAATTAAAAAAATTGTCAATACAGGCCAGATTTTGAGCAGAAAACTATGTAACAAATCAAAAAAAAATAGTCAAATTAAGTTAGATTTCGAGCTGAAAAACATTCAATTAAATTGTAAAAAGACTGTTCGTATCAGGGCTCGAACTGCCTTTTAAGGTTTATGGAGCAGTAATAAACTTAAAAAAAATTAAATGTAATAAAATAAAATGAAAATTTTTTTCTAAATTTCGAATTTTTTCAATGAAAATCAACCCCCCACACGACATATGAAATACAAAAGGACAGACTTTGCTCCATGTAACGCATCAATAATGGCAAATAAACTTCTTTAAATCAATTTGGAACAATTTCTAGCCTGAAAAAATTCTCCGCTAACGCGTTAATAGCGCGAAACATATCGCGCGTTAATTGTCCCGAATTGGCATTTTTTAAACCCCCATAACTTCGCAAAAAATGATCACAGGTGAAATATCTTTTCAAACTTAAGCTCAGGACAACAATACCTTTTGAATGATATACAAAATTCCGTCAAAAAGAGCTAGTTAAACAGTCGAAAATTGTCTGAAGAAAAAAAACCCACCCCGAGCACAAATATTCCGTTACTTTCGTTATGAAAGTCGGAACAAAACACTAAATACTGGAAAATGGATGTAATTTTTCTGAATTTCGATACAAAAGTAACGGAATATTTGTGCTCGAGGTGGATTTTTTTTTTCTTCAGAAAAATTTCGGTTTTTTAACTAGCCATTTATGACGGATTTTTTTTATTCGAAAGGTGTTGTTGTCCTGAGCTCAAAATTGAAAAAAAACTCACCTTTGATCATTTTTCGTAGCGTTATGGCGGTTTAAAGATTGCCATTTCGGCCAATTTGGGACAATTACACGCGATATATTTCGCGCTATTAACGCGTAAGCAGAAAGTTTACCCGTCTTAGAAATCGTTCCAAATTGGTTGAAAGAAGCTTGTTTGCCATAATTGATTTGTTACAAGGAGCGAAATTTATCCTTTTGTACTTTATATGGCATGTGGGAGATAATTTTCTTTACAAAATTTCAAAGGTTTCGCTCTATTACATTTAACTTTTTGATGTTAATACTGCTCCGTAAGCCTTAAAAGGCAGTCGGAAAATTCGGGGCTTCGCCCTGATACGAGCAGTCAGGTTTGATTTATAACCGATTTGAACTTTTTGGCTGGCACTTAAAACCAACTTAAATCGATTTTAATTTCAAATCAAACTTTTTTCCTGCAAAAACCAATCTTAACCCATTTTTTTGCATCATAACCCACTTAGCTTGTTTAGTGTGTAAGGATGTATAGAGAGAGTCTGTTATTACAGAACACAACCCGCAAGATGAGACACCCGCATTAATTGCAGATTTGTTTTGTCGTGGAGTTTATGTTAGACAGGGAGGAGCGTCTTTTGATATTCGTGTCTCTGACACCGACGCCATCTCCTATCAGAACAGAAGCCCCATGAGTGTTATGCACTCAGCAGAGGTTGAGAAAAAGATGAAAATATTCAGACGCGTGTCAGGAAAAACATTTGTTTTTCACTCCTCTTGTCATGTCTGTTGATGGGATGTTTGCACCAGAATTTGCAAGTTTCCTTCGGAGAATAGGATAAGCATTATCTACCAAGTGGGAGAAACCCTATAGTAAAACTATGAACTGAGTGAAGTGCCGGCTGTCATTTGCCGTGCTCCGTGCTTCCAGTGTGTGCTTCCGAGGCACAAGAACCAAGTGGAGGAGTCTTGGCTCAGACCATGATTTCTTACCCTAGAGAAATTTTTACGGATGTTCTACAATGAAGAGAAATTGGCTAGCTATGTGCAGACTCTGCTAGTAATGTAAAACGTGGACCTAAATGAAACAAAATGTTGAAAAAATGAACCAAATAGATAATTGACTGATTATAATTTTTAAAAAAAATCCTGATTTTTGACTGATTATGACTGATTATGATTGACTGATTATGATTTTGTCCATGCGGGGACTATGCAAATTTTGCACTCACACAAGAATTTCACCAACAGAATTTTTTTTTGCTAAGCAAAACTTTATTAGGTACGAAAATGCGTACCTTTATCAGAAAAAGTTTAGAATTAAAGGTTCTCGATGATTCAAAGCAGTTAGAAAACTTTTTGCTCTGATCTGTGAGTAAACAGTTGGAGCAGACGCAAAATAATCTTCAACATTTCTTTATGCTGCATCACCATTCTTTGTATCAAAACAGATTGAGATATTTTTACTAATTTTTTTGAAATTACGTCCATACAATTTTGAAAGTACTGTTGTTGGCTGTCCGGCGAACATTAAACAACTATTGTATGTGAAACTATTGGTTTAGAAAAAGGAACGACCATTGGCTTACAAAACAGAAGTAACGACCTCCTTTAGAAGAAGTTTTTGCTTGAAAGCAGTATACCACCGAATTATGCCACCAGTTTGCGATTTGCATATGGTATAATTATAACAAACTAACTTAAGTTAACCAATCATGATTTTTGTGAGATATTTGAGTGGCCTCGTTCAATCTATATCCTACGAGTTAACCAATCTAACTATCCGTTTACAATGAAGAGACCGCGTTCAGGTCTCTTTCAAAATCAAATGACGTTATTCTACTAGTTACAAGGCACAGATGATCTGATCGATTATTTACAAAGTTTCAGTATTTACAATTTACAAAATTTCAGTATTTACAATTTGCAAAATTTAATCAGTACTAAAACGCTATATTGGAATTGCTTGAAACATTTGTTTTTCCACCCCAAGTTTTCGAAATTAAAAGACACAAACACAAAAGAACTACGCTGAAATACCATGTGACAATCATGCTGTCATTCAGTAACTTTTTTCTCAGTCTTTGTTCATTCACTTTTTGCAGCTGATTTGAAATTGTTTCTGTATATGAGAACGGATGCATCTACTAATAGTTTAAACACTTCGAACAAGTTGAACAGACAAATGCCAGTCCAGAGTCCGATGTTTCCTCCAAAATCAGTGAGCAGCTGGGTCGAAGTGTATGCTGGCACCTCAGAGATACGCTCAAAGTTCAACTCCTCATAGTAGATTTCGATACGCGCAATGTTCTCCCTAAAAACAAACGAGACTTTAAGGAAGTAAATTTATTTGCATATTTTTTTCGTGATAGAATTGTTAGATTTGTATACGCGCAATGTTCTCTCAAAAAAACCTACATTTTGGGAAAATTTATTTATATGCTCAATTTTTTCCTTCAGAAAAATGTAGATTTATTTATGTCAAAGTGCAATTTTTTGCAGTTCTAGACAGGTTGCTATGGTCATACCTTCAAAAGAACCAAAAAAGGAGACGATGACACACTTTGAAAACCCCTTTGGTACCTATATTTCAGTGACTTGACACCAAATTACTTTTACGGTAGGAGGAGGGACTGCGTTTCATATTTTTCTACTTTTTCCAGGATACAAAAAATAATTGAGGTGGAAGGGAGTTGGGGATCAAAGCTCCTGATTTGAATGATAGTTGCAATCAATCATTGTGATATGAAGGGTGGGAGAGTTTTTTTTTACTTATGATAGCTCTCCCCGGCAACTTATTGAACCCGATTAATGATATATCACAGAGTGGTTGTGAGGGCTACAAATTATTTGTTATTGGTGACTATACTTTTTGCTACTAGGCTGGGGGGAACTAATGAAAAATGTTCCAAGTTCAACAAATCTTTGTTGCAAATCAGAAATTGTGAAAAAAACAACGGATCTACGTCACAATGTACTTCTATGGTATGTTAAAATAAATTACACCCTCTAAATACAACAGTAAACTAGCACTAGAGCGCTCTTTTGATATTTCTAGTTTTGCAGCATTGTGATTTGGCGAAATTTCGACTATGAAGAAAAAAAGAAGCCGAAATTATTTATCAAAGTTATTGAAGTATAAGACTCAAACAGTTTTTCCAATAACAATTTATTGCACTAAGCTTTAAAAGGATAAGTATCGAGATCAGCTGGTCTGCTTCAAACCCACCCTGACTATCAAAACAAAATCATAGGATGTTTGTTTGTTTTAAAACAAATAAGAAATACGAAATTCAAAACATTTCCCAGCATGGATCCAACCTATGAATCCGGCGACGAAGGCGGGCGTTTTATGTTTACAGCCGCGCTACCGACAGTACGAAAACAAACGTTACCAAGAAGAAAAAAAGACGGTAGGAGAAGGTTAAAATTATTCCGAAAAAGTTCAATAAGAACTTGAATTTTAAATTATAATTTTTCCTTTTACCCTTTTTGTTTATTTTTAATTTCTTCTTTTTTGCGCATTTACCTTCCTTCCTAATTCGCTTTTTGTTATCCCTCTGCTGGATCTATCCCACTACGCTTTTGATCCTTTATTATCCGTTTTGATAATCCCAGCTTGCGCTGGGAGTCAAATCCATGGTCCCTGGTATGCCTGTCGTATATTTGCCTCTGCGCCACGGGGCTTAAGTAATTATATAATTAACTACTTCTGAAATGTTTAGAGTGTATATTCATTTAATTTGTGTTATAAAATGTCGTCTACTCAAAGGTAAACACGACACGTGTGGCGGAAATTATCTAATTTTTTTGAGATTAATATACAGCTTTAGAGCTCCTGAACGTATGAAAAATTTTTCCAGCCCTGTATTTATTTGACCTCCTTGTATGAACAGAACTGTTTTCAAATAGTAAAAAATCATTAGGATTTTTTCCGAAAAAAAGGTATATAACAATTTTAGCACAGTTTTTAAAAATTAGTGAATATGAATCTCATAGACTGACAATTTTTGATGTTTCACAAAAAGATATTGAGGTTTGTCTCGACGCTTTCGAAAAAAAATGTTAGTTTTTCGTGTAGAGATAAAATAGGCTTGAGAGACGAGCAACTATAACAGCCATATAGAAAAACACCGTACGAATCAATGGTACAATTTTGGGTTTTCAATAACAGATAAGATCAGCTCTGGGAACACAATGGCATTTTTAATTTTTTGATTTTCTGAAGCTCTGTACTCAAGTGAACTTGAATTTGTGTCGTCTGCAGAAACAAACACCTCAAAAGGCAAAATTATTATACAGATAAGGAACGACAGAGGACCTAAACTCGAACCTTTTGGCACAGCGCAAACGTTATGTTTCCAAGATGAACTTGTTTCTGACATTTCTACAACCTGTTGACAATTAATTAGACGGCTGCTTAACCATTCTGGGGCTATGCTTCTGTTTCCAGAATTGTTCAACCTTCCAATTAGCATGTTAACATCAAAAGTATCAAATGCTTGTTTCAAATCTATCAAAAAAATTCGCCATTTTTTCATGTGTTAATTTTCCAGTTACCTCTCCAACAGCCTTAATTGTACTATGTTTTGTTTGCAAAAACAAAATGCTGAGCATAAAAAAAACTGAATTTCTCGAAGAACGCATAAACTCTTTTCTACTTGTTTCGCTCATTTCTCAAAATTTCTCCAAATTTTCAGTATTGCTATGAAACGATAGTTGCTTCCCTCGTTCTTTGATCAACCACTGCGCGAACAAAAAATTATCAAATTTACTAATTCATTCGGAAATTTGTCTTTTTGAACAAATCTAACTTGCCTTTTTGGAAAGAAACTTGCCTTCTGGAAAAGATTGACTAATTAAGATAAAATTGGTTAAATAAGCGAGGTTGATTATTTGATTGTTTGAAGTGCCATTGCCTGAAGATGTTTTCGCCAGTAAGCTATCAATGCATGAAAAAAGTGTCATCAGATGACGTTCTCTGCAAAAAAAATTTTTAAAAACTTATATGGGATTGCGATAGTTTATGTTTTTTATAGTTTTGAATCCATGCTTTCAATGAATTGATTGAACTGTTCAGTCAAAAGAGAAGTAAGATCTAGGTATTTGCAACACGAGGAAAGACTGGGTTTTGATCAGGCTCTCTAAAAGCTTTTTTAAAGTCTGCCTGGAGTATCCGAGACAATAACTGATTTTTTTGAAATAAAATCTCTTTTTGTAATTTTTTTGTTTTGTCTGGAAGTTGCTTTGCTAACTTAAATTGGTTTAATTTGACCGCATTGTTTTCAGCACTCACCTAAACTTTGCGTATTTTGTTTCTCTGGGTTTTCGTTTTTTTTTGAACCGTGAAGGTAGTTTGTGTCGTTTATGTATCTGCTGTGTAATAGGTTCATAATTGTTGAGTAACTTTTGAAAAAGCAGATAAAAATTTTCGAAACCTTCACTAATAATTGCTGTTTTAAAAAAATTTAAATAAAAACTGAGCAAAACTAGTAGCGCCTCTATTTGAAAAAGAGGTTTGAAATTCTTATGGGATTCTTTCAGATTTTGTTTTATCGGAAACTAAGACTAATAGGATGATTGTCCCACTGCAAAATATTCGAGACAAGTTTTGAAAACTGATGACACTCAGGTTACCTCTTTGACAAGAGAGTCAGAAGAAATAGAGTATAAGGTGATCGTGCGATTAATACTAAACAGAATAGCTGTTTTAAGATTTCTACATTGAAATCTCCAATACAATCTGTTGTCTTTGTGATAATGGGCGTTCGAGAAAGCTACCTACTTTTTCAATACGCTCATCTTTGTTTATTCTGGGAGGGTTATATAATGCTGCTAAGATAAATTTGAAACCAAGTTGTGAGATTTTAACCAATAAATACTATTCAAGAAATATCGGCTATTTTTCAATAATACTGATCCCCTTTAGGTCATGAATCAGTACACTTCCACCATACAATTAATCAGACCCAAATCTATATTGCTTCTAAGATTTTCGGAGAAACGCGTTGAATTCATCTTGTTTACTTTAGCATGTTTCAATTATTCATATTTTTGACGCGGATATTCAAGACAAATTAAAAGTGCTCCAAATTCTTGAACGTGTTTTTCAGGGGCCTTGCATTAAGGAGTAGCTTATAAATTACAAGAGATGTGTTTTTTTGGATCCATTTTCATCTGGGACTTTCTTTATGAGTGGTTGAGTTCTTTTAGCCTTAACAGCAGCTTGAATAAAAGTAATAATGTGCGGTACAACAACAACATTTATTATATCATTTGCTAGATTTCTTCGATTTGTTTTTTTTTTGATGAGAGCATGAACTTTCTTCTTGGTCTCAGAACGCTCGTTTTTGATTCTGGATCTCTTTGTAGCGGTTGTGGTACTCAGGGGAATCAATTGATGCGGCCAATGTTCAAAAAATTGCAAGAGTAACGGCTTCCGTTGTTGTTTCTTCTGATTAAAGACCTTCTACGCTAAAATGGGGAAGAAAAAACTTCAGCTCATTGATGAATTTTACCTAAACCTAGTATTTTGAGAAACTATTAGCATTTCCGGCGTATAATTTTTGTTTGCGTTTCTTGTTTTCGATTTCTGTCTCTAGAGTCAGGCATTCCTCGATCATGATAGGATGATTTCTCGATTTTTTATTTTTTCAGTCGACCTTTCTTATTATATAAGACTTGTCTCTAACTGTATGAAACTTGAATTTTACAATAAACGGAGATGTTGACTTAAATTTCAGAGGGTGGCAAGCGGCTAAATTATTGACACGACGGCTGACTTTAAGAAAGTGACGCTTGAAGTTGAATAATTTGAACATCGGGTTTTTACCATAGTCATGGTTGACAAAAACTAAGCAGAACTTTTGCGAAGTTTTTTTCCTACTTCTACAACACGTTTTGGTATTTCATGGATATCGTTGGTACTTTCAATTTTTATCCTCACTTGAAATTGTTCGTTTTCTAGTATTGATATTTTCTTCCATTGCTGAAGCTCGATTTTTAAATGGGTTTTTAGAAAAAAAAAGACTCTGTTCTTCTGCTTCGATTCCGGTTTTGAGTGATTCCTTGTTATGATTGATTTGTGATATAACATCATTTACATCTTCCATCTTTATTTAATAAGTTTAACACCAAATGTAGGCTATCTTAATCGACTTAACAATCCTCGATCCATAGTTAATCTGACTTGACTGTATACGCTCAACCCGACCTGTTAAAACAATTTGCCCGGAAAAAAATGCGACTGGATATGCGACAGGGACACAGCAGCGATTCCCCGTTAAAAGCTCACCAGCTAAAATGCTGGTCTTTTCCCTATGGTGGATGAATGATTTGAATAGGTGAAGAAAGCAAAAAAAAAAGAAATTACTAACTGAACTGCGAGGAGTATGTTCTCGAGGTCAAATTGAAATGACTCATTTGCTGGGCTATTGTTCTCGAAGTCATCGACATCATGTGTGGTTAGTCCCATCACAGAGTCCGCCCACGCCTTCAGAGCAGCACTGTCGCCCAAACCCCCTTTCCTCATTTTACTCAGCAAGTAGGGCTGAAATCACTTGGTAAATGTTTTTTTTTCACGTTTTTTCATTTTTTCCCAAAACTGACGAAGTTCCCGGTGTAAACACTCTGTTCTAATTTCACAACAACCTGTCTTTGTTTTGAAAAACTGGTGTTTCGGGATTATTTTTAGATTGTTATTTTAACATGGTTAGTATCAGAAAAAGAAATACAGCTGAATACTTTACCGCGTAGTTTTTGGAAGGCCACTGAGACTGGGAGAGAACTGTTGAGAAGCTGCGGTCCCTGAAATTGAATTCTCGGAAGGGTTCCAATTTTCATAAAATATATATTTGGTTTCAATTGAGCCAACCAAACATTTATAGATTTCACTGCTTTTTCATGAGGTGAAGAAATGACTCAATTTCAGTTCCATTTTTTCAAATCCCAACCACCACCCAAATTCCACTCCACGCATCACACAATCACACGCAATCTTCAAGTTCGTAGTTTAAAGAGTTGTTACACATGCTTCTGTGTGAAGAAGTTATACATATGATTGCAAATGTCCATATTATACATCTGGACATTTTGAGCCATAAATTCACAAAAAGATATTCCCAGGCGTGGAGCGGGAGAGAAAAAACTTTTTATATAGAAAAAATCCTTGAATGATCTTTCTGACAAAAGCTCTTTAAGCCGTGACGTCAAAGCTAAAAAAATCAGCTGATGTCACTCCAGTATATAGTCCAACAATATCATCTTATAAATATCTAAAACGTGACCAACGTGCATGCTTGTCGGCACCCGCAGTCCAGTTGATTGCTGGCAGCCTCCACATACACAGACTCTCTACATGCACGAGTGGTGGAACTCCAGGGGTCACACAAGGTCAGAGAAGAAGAGTCATCACCTTCGTCCTCATCTCCGTTTGAATCATCCAGGCCGAAAAAGTATCTAAAAAAGTACAGTTTGTTTCACGAGGGTAAAAATTCAAAGTTAAAATTAGTTTTTCAAGAAGGGAACAGACTTGATTATTATTTACATATCTCAAACAATAATCATAAAAAACAGTTCTTCTAGATTTTTAGGCAGATGGACAAGCAAAAAAAGTTACAAATTTTCTTGGTGCCTTTTTCAATAATTAAACAACGTGCACTAGTTCGACAAAAACGTATTTGCGGATTTTTTAGGTCGACCTTTTTTGGGCACTTTTTGGAAAATTTTGACAACGAAACCGGCGCTTTTTCGGCGCGAACTTCGCAGCAAAATTAGTTAGCCGAAAAAGGATGTCATAAATTGATACCAAAGGGAGGAGCTTTTGAGTGATGAGAGGGGGAGGGGGGCAATTATCTTGGAGAAAGTTAGTTATAACAATAGAGAACACGTGTTGCACCTGTCCACGCATTGGCATTTCTCGAGGAGTCTTTCGGCTATGCAGAGGTTGTTGCATCCTCTCACATTGTAATTGAACTGCGAGAATGAACTGCGAGCAAACGAGTCTGAAATTAAGCAAAAGGAAAAACATACAATTTTATTCCAAAATTAACACTTAAAAGGTGTAATAGTTGCGAAAAAACAGATGTGTGACCTTTTGAGCAATATGAATTTGTAAGTCTTTTTACAGCAAGTCACAGAATAGGGGTTGATTTTATTTTATCTCTCTTATGTACATGAATGTACTAAATACCATAGGGATAGGCTAGTTAAAATTGCGCAAAAACACTAACCCAAGAGCGGAAACTCAGGGTACTCCCTTATGCAGTCAGAATAGGGTTCGGGCTGTCTCAAGATCTCCATGTAGCGAGTGGCTATACTAGTCATTTCTCCAGGTGCGAAAGTGATGCCCTGATCTTCAGGAGTTGCAGAGACCTCTGCCGATGTTAGAGTCAGTCTTCCCCCGGGAGTGTGGGAGAGGACTCCGATGTACTCCTCAGTCTCCAGGAACAGAGTCAGTTTCAGTCCCCACTGCATTCCTGTTTTGGAGGTGTCCCGAGTGAGAGTTCTGTTGCGGTGCTTTTGGTTGAATGCAAAACAGTTTCCTTAAAAGGCGCATTGTCAAAATAATTCACCTTCATCGCTAAAGCTGTTGTTTTTTTTCTCAAAACAGTAAGAAACAGGGTTAGAAACAGTAAGAAATAAGCTTAAATGTAGCAGCTGAAACCACCTTGCATCACAATTGAGGCTTTTTCTCAATTTTCTTATGAAGTACAACTCTTAAAATTAGCGTCCATATTATAATTTGTATTGCAATCAATATTTTTTCAGAAACTTTTTTCAGGACCACGACTAAAAATTGAGAAAACGTTATCGTAGTTCAAACTGCATGTACCGTAATGATGATTCCTCATAACGTCGAAGTCCTTCAAATCACAGCTGATCCCGTCATAAGTGCACTGCACCACAAAATCTTCCAGCTGGTGGCCATAATTTTCAATCACGTGCTCTTCAAACAAAGCAAGTCGCTTAAAATCGGAATAATCTTCTTCGACCGAAGCGGAAATTGCCCCTTTCCAGTCATTTCGGTCCAGGCCGTCAAACTGAGATAGAGATCCGGGAGACGCTGCAGTTCCTGCGGATGATGATGGTGCCTGGGAGGACCTGGCGACCCATTGATCTAACCAGTTCCAGGCTGTTTCCTGTTGATTTGTGGACTTCCTTTGTCGTGTTTGAGAAGACTGGTCGTTCTCGTAGTTATCGTAGTTATCGTAGTTATCGTAGCTATCGTCGCTGTAAGCTGTCGTTGTTGTTGCTGGCACTTCAGATGAAAGAAATTTAATGATCATGAACACAAATAAGTGATTTTTTTTCAAAAGTTCTAATTTATATCAAAACGATTTTATTATTCAATTCTAATCCCCCGTCGCCAAAAGGAAAATGTTTGAGCCTGATAATTTCCGAGTACCCGAATTATTATTGCAGAAATACCGAAAATTATGTTGTAATGCAGCAAAATACTGGCTTTTAACAGGTTGAAACTTCAATACAGTTAGATACACCATTACGTGTCAAGGTTCAACTTAGTTTTGTAAATTTCTTTTATTTGATCTTCATTTTCTGTTGACCCTGATTTTTTATATATAATTACACTAAAGGTAGTTAATGTATCAAAATCAAATCATAAATTTTTTCTAATTGTTTTGATTCATTATGTTTTACGCCGCGTTCAGTAGTGTAGAATTGGTGATTCTACTGTATTACATGCTATAGTAACCTGAGCGTAAGATTGAGTACAGCAAACAAAGGGTAAAGTTCGAAATAGTTCAATCTTCAAAAATATCGTCCATCCTATGCCAGAAAATAAAATTTGACAAAATCGGTGAACCCCCCCCCCCCCCCCCCCCCAAATCGGAACTAAGGAAGCTAATGTTATCAAATTCAGAGGAGCAAAACTAGAGATGATTTGACCCGGGCATACAAAAAACGGGAGCCGTCAGACCCTTGGGGGCAAGTGATAACGGTCCCCGGAAGTCTAAATGGCCCTATCAGAACTCGGTAACTAGCGGTTGGATTAGACTCAAACTCTAGTATGTTGAAGGCCTAGTTAAGGGAAGCGTAAGTTTGGAACCTCAGACCCCTAAGACCCCCACTTCCGGTTTTATGCCCAAAGTAAACAAATCCACCCCTAACTTCCGGAAGTCGTTTCTTGGCCACCGATGAGTGCAGGGAGCTGAAACTTGGAGGGATGAAAGGTAGTGGCAATATACATCTTGTTTTATAACTTGAACCAAATCCGGCGGTTGGGCCAGTAGCTATTAGCTTTTGGAAAAACACCCCCTTAGACCGGAAATAGGCAATTTACGCTAAATATTGAGCAAGGGCATACCAATTTTATTGCGGCAATGGACATAAGATACGGACCCCGAAAAACGACCCCTTGTGAGTGAAAACCCTCCGGCGAATCCTTCCGGTGTTAATAGCCTTTTAACCGGAAAAAAGTGATATTGGACCTTAGAAATGGGATAACTTTTGAAGTTTTAATGGGATATGAATGAAACTTGGTAATTAGGACCCCTAGGAAATTCTGAGCCCAAAAAAAGAAGTTCGACCCCGGTTGACCCCTGGGTGACCTTAAGTTGATCTTTGGGCTTTTTTGACCCCAAAATTACGTAGACCGATATTAACACCGGAAAGTGGCGTATTCCCCAGGCTAACCCCTGGAAATGAGAATGGGTCACCTTGCTAAAAGTTGGGAGGAAAACTTATATATTGGTATCTAGAGCAGAAGCTGATAGAGATTTTATTTTTTATTGCAACTTTGGAGTAGTAAAGTTAATTCAAAGTGGACTTGGTAAACATTGGGTTCTGTTTAGCTTGATGAATGATCTATTAAAAGCAATTCAACTACACTAAAGCAAAGTAGTCCCAGAGGAAATTGATAGTAATGAGACCGCGGTATGAGAGTTAAGTCTCCTAAACAGTATGAAAGAACGGGGAAATTACTTGGCTTCCCGGTGGTGACTTTTTGGTTTAATTTGACCCCTAATAGACGAACTACGTTACCCTGGTAGCTAGAGGGTCGGAATTGGAATAGAGTACAGATAGAAATATTAGATGCCTGAAATTGGTTAGCTACCCATCAAAAGGGCCTGTTAACGGGATAACTAAAATAAAGATCTTGGGAGGATTACTGAGTAAACATAGCATGGTTTAGAGGTTAGTTGAACTCGAGAGCTGAAGTTCACAGTGTTCAGCAAGTTGTTGATTAGAATCGTATGACATTTGTTTGCTTGGTCAAATTGTGACAGCTACCGCTTACCGGGTATCTAATAAGTGTGAAAAGATTGATAAAAGAAACCGAAGTTGGCACGTGGCACGAGTGACAGGAGGACGCAATAGTCCTAAAACATGTGCAAACGGGTGATTTAGGCGGATGTCAGGATCGATAAGGAATGGCGTGACTTAACTAAAACTAAGTGTAAAGAAAGATAAGTAATTGGACGATACCGGAGAGCCTGTAAGAGGCAGAAGAATTATTGCAAGCGAATCAAATAGTTAGTTCTCAGTTAGTTAGAGAACAGTTTGGTCTACAAGCTAAGGTAGTCGCCTGATTCTCAAAGTAAAGTGAGAAGGAGTTGGTAGACCTGTTAACGTGAATGTAGATTAGTTAGAGGATAGCGGAATCGTTGTTGAACGATTGATATTGATGGAAGTTTTTGAGGAGAACGTTAGTTAGTAGCGAGGTGTTAATTGAACTGCAGGAGACAGTTGGTTTAAATAATAGTAATAGCGAACCCCTTTCTTTAATTGAGTGATTAATTTATTTTTCAGCCAATTATAGGCTACTCTGTATTTGGTTATTTTCATATTTTAATTCATTCTTGTTATTGGAATTGTTGTTGCGATCGATTATTGATTGACCGGTGAGATACAGTCGGAAGAGCACGAATCACGGGGCGAGCAGCACAGTACAGTACAGAGCAGCCAGCCACCAAATCAACCCTTATGGTATTGTGAACAGTACTGGGAATCGGTTGCCCCTCTGACCTCAGTACCAAAGGGAACATATTGCTGCGATGTGAAGTAGCGAGGAAGACCGGCCTAGAGATATTGTGAATTCCCCCACGGTTACAGTGGCTGCAACGACGATTTGTGCGGGATTACGAGGACGAGAAGAACGAACGAACGATCGACGAAACAATTGCGATGGCGATGAACGATCAAGACAGACAGCTGATTGCAGAGGCTGCAGTGGCAGCGGCCAATGCTCTCGATCGACAACAGGGAGTGTTCGGATTTGGTACGATACGACCAGATCGGTTTCCCTCGAGCAGTTATCAGAACTGGCGAGACTGGAAGAAACACTTTGCCTGGATAGCAGACGCCAATCGATGGGACGATGAGCATGCCAGGATGGTGCTGCCGACTTGTCTGACAGGCTGGGCATTGGATGAGTTCACGAGTATGGCGGCTCACTTTCGAGAGGAAGTTGACGAGTTTGAGGAGCCGACGCTGGGCAGATTGCTCGCGGAACTCGATCAGAGGATGATGCCATTTCAGACACAATCAGCTGCGAGGGCTGAATTCCAGAACCTCATGCAGGAGTAAGGCGATGGCTTGAGAGATTTTGCAAGACGAGTGCGATCCTTGGTTAAAGTTGCAAATACAAATCTGGGAGCTCAAGCCCGAGACGACATGAACCGCGAACAGTCCACTGATGGATTGTGTGATTTCGAGCTTCAGGAATTGCTTCTGCGAGAAGACCTCGAGAATTTCAACCAGGCGGTGGCCCGAGCACTGGCTCTAGATATGGCACGCAAAACAGTCAGGATGAAGAGTCGGCGACGGCGATATCACGTTCGGGCGGTGCACGATGTTCAAGACCTGACGACTGAGGCTGGCAAAGACAGTACGCTGACTGCCGAGACTCAACAGATACGGACGGAGCTGACGAGATTGCAGACGCACACTGACCAGAAGATGGACCAAATGATGAACGCTCAGAACAACCTGGCGAAGCAGACTGATGCCCAGTGTTCGAGGTATGATGAGGTAAGATTGCAGATGCAGATGCAGGAATCACGTCAGAATGATCTGACGGCTCAAATGATGGCCCAGATAAAGAACTTAACGACAATGATAGGTAGGTTCGTTGATCCTTGTAACCCCAAGCCAGAGAGTCACACCCGACGGGGAGAGAATCAGCAACGCGACTTTGCGAACCCAAATGGACGACAGAGTGGAAATAACCCATGGACCCAGGGTGGTTGTTTTAGTTGTAGACAGGTGGGCCACATTGCAAAAGGATGTCCCCAAAGAAGCGCAAACCAAACTAGCAAGGGCCGGGACAGTGGGAGAGTTCGAAGGACGTATTGTCCCGGCCGAATTTAAGAAACAGCAGGCGGAAAGGCGAGCACAAGCTACAGGAACTCAGTCTTGCCAGCGTTACGATACGAATGCAAATAATGATGGAGAAGGGCAGAGCGAGAAGATAATGGAACAGGAACAAGTTCTATCGATATCGGAGCGACTACCAAGGATCAGAGAGAACGACCCAAAGTTGGAAACGAAACAGAATTCGCGGACGCGCATCGAGCGTGTTGGGATCAGTCATGATGTCAGCGATTTACGCGGAGCAGTCGTTAATGCTTGCGTAGGCGGAACCCATGTTGAGGTGCTGCTTGATACCGGAGCCAACACCGACCTCAGAAGGACAAATGTTGCGCGGAGAACGGTTGACGCACCGACGAAGGAACGCTATGTAGGTCGACTGGAGACAACAGACGGACAAATAACGGCGGTCGACGGAGTTGTCAGAACTTGCTTCAGGTTGGGCAACATTGCCGAAGAAATCGAAGCGCTTGTGGTCCCGAAAATGAAAGCCGAGATGGTCCTAGGACTACGATCGATGAAAGAGTATCAGTGCTCTTTGGTGTTCAGTCGCGGAGAAGATTTCTTGTGGACGGGCACGAGAGAAGGTTCAATGGTACCCATACGGCACTTGACTCATAGGCCTTATCCGGAACGGATGCCCTCTCTGCCACATGAACCAGGCGGACAGATTAAAGGAAATCATATTCCAAGATCAGACATGCGGAAGAGGTTGATTGCGAAGATAACAGCGGCAGTGGAGTCTCTCGACGAAGGATGGCCGACGAGTTATGATGATTACAGCATAAATGTGGTTCAAGAAACGAAAGTGGAGGAATACGAAATGTACGGGTGCCCTAAGCCTGTTTCATTAGATGAAGCTTTGAGACGAACTTGGAGGAGGCCAAACAGAGAGAGTTGCAGTGGTTCCAGAGACAAAGGTGGACG